CAGAGGTGGGTTCCTACCGGTTCGCACCGGTTCAGTAGAACCGGTTCGTCAAATCTACCGAACCGGTTAGAAGAGGTTCCACCAGTGGATCCAGAAAGCAGACTACACCTACAGAAGAGGTTCCAAATTTTTTTGAAACCCACCACTGCCTGCAACTCTCCTGCCAGCCACATCACCTTCTTTGCAACGGGCAGGGAATTGTCTCCTGGGGGGGAATCAGCTCCCTTCTCCTATCTCTGCAGCTTCCAGGCTAGCCTTCCCATGAGTCCCATCATGCTGGCTGGGGCTGATGGGAATGGGTGCCCAATGCATCTGGCACTGCCTTGGATGAGTTGGGGGAGCGGTGTTGGCTTTGGTTGCCTTCCTCCGGCGAGGGAGGGCAGGGATGAGGAAGAGGAGCAAAGCACGAGGCTGGGCTGGGGGGGCATCTGGGTGGCACGGCGGGCAAGAAGGCTGGTCCTATGGACTCCCTTCTTGCCCTTCTGCTCCTCCAGCCTTCCCTCCCCCCCAGGAAAGCACTTTCCTCCCACTGGCAAAGCCGAATGTTCGATCAGCTCCCTTGGACAGAGCTGAGCGGGAAGAGGGCAGGGGGCCTTCAGGGGTGGGGGAGGGGCTCCCACATACAAGGACTGGTGTAGGTGAAGCGTCCAGGCTCTTCCGTCCGGAGGAAAACGGTCCTCTTGGTCTCACACTGGTCAAGCCTGCAGGGAGGGAGGGAGAGGTCAGGGAAGGAGGCGGGCACAGCAGAGTTGGCTCTGGGGGGAGGGAGAAGTGCCAACCGAGGCAGCCGACAGCTCTGGCACAGGGGCCGTGGCCCTCCCCCTCCAGAGGAGCCCCCTTACTTGGGGTAGGTGGAGGCGATGTCCAGGTTCCCGTCTTCCGTGGGGGAGACGACTGTGGTGCACATCTTCATGACCTGCCTTTTCTCCTTGAACCAGCGGGAGTTGGAGGCCAGGCCGATGCTGTACCAGGTGCCCGTGAACTGGGGGGAGGGAGAGAGAGAGAAGGGTCAGCCCCCCCCCCAGGGCCCCCTTGGCCTCTGCCCCCCTCCTTGGCTCAGGCCACCCAACCCAGGGGGCATTTGGCAGAAGAGCAGAAGAGGGGCCACTCCAGGTCCCCAAAGGTCCCAGGGACTGAACGCAGCCAGGTCCCTTCCCAGTTTGAAAAAGTCAGCAGAAAAGGGGAGCTTTTAAACTGTGGGGGGGGAGTTGCTTCCATCTGTGGCAGCCTCTGATTTCCCCCCCCCCTCCTTTGAAAGTCCTGGACAAGCTTTTTGCAGCTCAGCTCTTCACCAGGAGTGTGAACGAGTGACGGGGCCTCTTCCTCCATATTCTTCAGACACCCCCAAAACACAACACAGAGAGAGAGAGAGAGAGAGAGGGAGGGAGGGAGGGAGAGGGAGGGAGGGAGGGAGAGAGGGGGGAGAACCAAGGGACTCTGAGCCTTTCCAGCCACCGGTTCAGGTGAGGAGCCCACCAAGAGGCTTGTGCCTGTGCCAGGCACCAGGGCGCCAGGGTGGCACTCGAGTTACCTGCTCTTGCTGGAAGTCAGCCTGGACGGGCAGCTCGGCCTGCACCTGCAGCAGGCATAGAAGGGCCAAAGCAGCAGACGGCTGTGCCCACATGCTGGAGCTGGGGGTTCCTGGGCTCTACCTGGCGTGGGGTTTCTGCAAAGGCTGCGCAGGCAGGAATGGTCAGCCAGAACCCAGGAAGAGCGGCTATATATCGGCCAGCCCAGCAATGGGTCAAGGGGCGACCTATGCTGGAGGCCGGCCCCTCCTTCCCCCTGCTTCCCCCCTGACCCCTGCTGACAGCATTATGCAAGCCCAAAGCAGGAAAACAGAACACGCAACGGGGGGCCCTGCTCTGCTCTGGGGGGCCCAGCTGTGCGAGCATCAGCCCACAGGCCCACCAAGGAGACCCCCCCCCCGCTGGAAGGTGGAGGGCTTCCCCCTCCCTTCATCCAGGCTGTGTGCAGAGGAACGTCCCCTCCCTCCCCCCCCCCCCGCTGTACAAAGGGCAGGGCTGCCTCCTTCAACGCGGCACAGAGGATGAGGGGAGGAAGGAGCCCAGGAGGGGCTGCCCCTCAGCCTGATGCCCAGCCCGCCCTGCTGCTTCCCCCGTGGGGAGGGGGGCTTTAGCTGGTGGGCACCGCCTGGGGTCTTGATTGCGCTTGGCAAGAAGAGCAGGGGGAGGAATGCTGGGTCAGTTCTGTAGCTCCCAGGCCAAGACAGTCTAAAACCCTTGTGGGGGGGGCAGTGGGGGGGGGCATGGTCTGGGGACCCTGAAGGAGAGGCCGGATGGCTGTCAGCCCCCCCTCGGCTTCCTAAGGGAGTCCAGAAGAGGCCAAGGAACATTCTGGCAGCTGCCAGGCTGGATGAGGGGCAGGACGGGGCAGCTGAGCTCAGTGGGGCTGGACCTCAGCAGGGGCCGTGCTTGGGAAAGGAGGCAGGGAACAGCCCCCTATTGGGGAGAACAAGCCTGGCCAAAGGAAGGGCAGCCGTTGGCTTTGGCCAGGCTCCTCCCCGGCCCCATCCCTTCCAGAAGGGGGTCAGGGAAGGAGCTGCCACCCCCTTTGGAGCCAGAGGGGGGAGCGTGCCAGAGCCAGGCGAGGGGGGCATGGCCGGGGGGGGGGGTGTTGAGCTGGGTAAACAGCAAGTCCAGAGGATTCCTGGCACTGGGACGGCAAAACAAGTCCAGAGAACAGGCCTGGCGGGGGGGGGCAAGGGGGGGCAGCCAGGGCTTTCCAGAACTGCTTTCTCAGCATAATCCAAAGAGTCCCAGAACAGTCCAGGCCTGGAGGAAGGGCTGCTGAGTGGGCGCAGGGCCTCTGTGGCACTGGGGGGGGGGTGCTGGGACTGTGAGAAAACAAGACCCAGGTGCACCCAGCCTGGCGCTCCCTGTGTGTGTGGGGGGAACCTTTGGGGGACATCAGGCAGGAGAGCCACTGATTCTCAGTTGCAAAAGAGCCCAGAGTTTGTTCCACCACTTGCAGCCCAGCCCCCTCCACTCCCCCCACACCCAGCCCGCCCCCCCCCCGGCCCCTCTTAACTCTGCGACCAGAAGGCCTCTTATGCTTGGGGGGGGGGGGGAGGTAGCCACAGAGACTGGGGGGGGGGGGGAGCTCATTGCAGGCCCCGTTCTACCTCTCAGCAAGGAACTCCAACCTGATTTTTAGCTATAACATCCCTTTTTGTGTGTGTGCAAATATCAATAACGTCAAAGTGGGTTTTCTTGTTTTATTTTCATGGGAACAAATACAAGGGAAAACGTGGGCGATTTCTGTTCTTGTGTGGCTGTCTTGACACGGGGGGAGGGGGGAGCCTCGGACCGCTCCCGATTCCTGCTATCCTGTGTATCTTGTCTCTGGAAGGCAGAAAGAGAACATACAGGGGGGTGGGTGGGGGTGTCGGATTGGCCCCTGAAAGGCCTCTGTTTAGCCTCCTGCAGACCCCCATTGGTGCCCCGGAAAGGCTCTGTGCACGTTGCCCATCAGCGGAGGAAGCAAAGCCCGCCTGCCTCTTGCGGGCGCCAGGGGTGCGCGAGGCCGCCGGTTCAGGCCCCGGGGGTGGCGAGTTTGACCGAGGAGGCACTGAAGCCGGCAACTCACCGTCAAGGATGTGGAATTGGTCGGCCGAGCTACAAAACCCTGCGGAAGAGAAAGTGGGGTTCGACATCGGCTCATCAATGCAACCCCGGCTTCCCCCGGGCCCTGCGCTGGTTGGACGGAGGGCCTTTCGAAGTCCTCTGAGCCCCTTTGCTTGGCCCAACATGGATGTTTAGGAATAAGGGGGAGGGGTCTACTGCCACCCAGCAGCTGCCTGACTGACAGGGAGCGCAAACTTCCACCACCACCCCCCTTCCCCAGTGCAAACAGCTGCTCACCGTAGACGGGGTAATAGAAGATGAGGTCATCGCTGATGCCCAGGGCAGCCATGGCAGCTTCGAACTTCTTCAGGGTGTCAGTTGGAAGCTGTGCCGTCCGTCCTTCCGGGGGTTCCATGAAAGAGAGATGCATCAGGGGAGCCCCAGTTGCCCTTCCCCTCCCCCAAGGACCTCAAGAGCTTTGCTCCCTACAAAAGAGGGCGGCCCCGGCAGGCACCTCCTTCAGAGGCTGCCCCAGAGAGGCCCCGGAAACCGTCAGCCCCTCCCCAAGGGTTTGGGATTCTCTGGGCCTCCCCGCATCCCCACCAAAGCCCACCAAAGCTTTCATCCACACCATAAAGTTTGGCTGAGATCTTGCGGTTCTTCTGGAAGTAGAGGATGGCGTAGCTGCTGTAGTCCGTCTCCCGCACCACCACGTCCACTGGGGCACCACGGCCTGGAGGGGGGACCACAGAGAGGTCAAGGCACGGCTTGTCCTGCAAGGGCCAAAGGGCATCAGGAGAGAGGAAGCCCTCTCCTCCCCCGCCTCCTCTCACCTTTCAAGAGGAAGCGCCCCGGCGTCTGGCCGGCGAAATAGCTCTGCTTGATGTTCCAGCAAATCCCCTCCCTGCAGAGACGAAGGCAGGACAGACTGACAGACAGACAAAAGGACCACTTCCGCCCAAAAGGACCTCCATTGGGTCAGCTGCAGACAGGCTCCTGCACGTCGGAACTGGCTCTCCTCCCTGAGTGTGAGCTAGCGAGGGCCCCCCTTGAGGCATAGTCAGGCTGAGCCCCCCCCCCCGGATGCCCCCCCCTGAGCACAGGGACCCCGAAACACTCACAGAGGCCGGAAGGTGCTAAAGAGCAGGGAGCCCTTGTCGGTCACTGAGACCACCACGTTGGTGGCTTCCACCCGGTAGCCATTTTCGCGCAGGTAGAGGCAATCAGAGGCCACCCCCACCAGGAACCACTTCCCTGCAAACTAGAAAAGGAGGGAGATGGCACTCTTGTCTCACACACACACCCTTGGACCCCCAGTGGATTCGAGGCTGCGTGGCTGGGCTTCCTTGCAGTCTTTCTGCACAGACCCTTAAAATGCAGCAAAAATTAAGCCCAAGAGCCACTTCAGTGAATGCTATTTGTAAAAAGGGCACCGGCTGTTTTAAAACAAATCCTTCACTCCTTTATTTGGCAAAAGAAGACATTGTATTGACTCCCCTGAGCTGAAGAGGGACAGAAGAAAGCTTGAAAGGGAGTGAAGGAAGCCGGGCGGGAGCCGTGCTTTGATTGAGGACTCTGTGTTCTGACAAAAGCCAGAGAGGAAGAGAAGGTGCCCATTATGTCAGCCCTGCCGCCTATCTGGGGAGCCGCCTCCTCTGCACTGTGGCCGCCTTTGTCCGGAGGTTGGCAGGGAGCATGGAGCTGAGCAAACAGAGCAGATAAGGAGGCGCCTAACAAGTGGGGCACTAGGAGGGGATCAGGATGAGGGGCTTGCAGACTAGGGGGACCTGCTCAATCCCTGGAAAGGGTGGGGGGTAGGAGGAGATGCCCTTCCGAAATGCAGCGGAGCCACAGAGATGAAAAGAGAGGCTTGTGGGCAGCAAGGAGAGAGGAGGGCTGCCTCCCAGCCACCCTTCGGCCCAGCGCAGGACGGATTCTGGCGGCTCTTGGACGTCTCAGAGAGGCCGGAGGGGAAGCTGAGCTTTTCACCCCCCAAATGAGCCCCCCCCTCTGTTCCCCCTGCTCACCCGGACAGGATCAAACTGTTCTTGAGCGCTGATCGCATCAATGGGACTCTTCTTGGGGGGTTTGGGCCTCCGTGCCCAGGAGGGTGAAGCCAGAAAAAGCCCGGCCAGGAGAAAGACAGCAATGGGAGCCATGGTGGGACGGCAATGACCAGCAGTGCTCGGGGTGCCCTTGGGCGCAGGAGGGTGGGTGGGCAGGCTCCCAGTTAGGCATTAATCAGGCTTCCCAGAAAAGGCCACTGGGGAGGTCCCAGCTGCTGCTGCTGCTGTCCTACCACCCCCAGAGCCAAGGACAGTGCTCCGTTCACAAAGGGGCAGCCTGGAGCCCCAAAAGAGCCCTGGGGTTGCAAGGCGGCCTCTTAGAGAAGCTCCCTCCCGGCCCTGGGAAGCCAGCTGGGCAAACCTAAAGCACAGCAATTCTCCCTCTTTGACCATAGAAAAATAAGGTACTTGCAAGGGACCCCGGAGGTCTTCTAGTCCAACCCTCTGCTCAAGACAGGAACCCTTGTAGGATTCTGGATCAATGGCTGCCCAACAACTTCTGAAAGAGGCCATTGCACCGATGTCTTGTCCTCACTGCCAGGAGATTTCTCTTTAACAAGCTTCTTATCCTGACCCCAGGAGCTTTGGAGGAAAGGTTGAGTCCCTCTTCTCTGCGACCGTTAGAGCTCGGAAGGCTGCTATCACGTCACCCCTCGTCCTTCTCTTTGTTAGGTGGTAGAAAAATAGATTGAAGGACGGAAGAAGAAGAAAAAGGGGGGACAGATAGACTCAAAAGAGGCAAGCTGAGCAGAAGGGTGATACCACCCAGCCGTCCCATCACATTGGTTTTTTTTTCCCACGGTTCCGACATTGTCCACAGGAGGGCACTGTTTTCTGTCCCTTAATGCTAGCACTGAAAGTTTATTTCCTTTTGTGCCTGCAATTCCGAGCTTGTCCACAGGAGGGCATTGTTTTCTGTCCCTTTGAGTTGAAGTCATTGAAGTTATCATAAGGCTTTTTAAATGGGTTACGGCTTTTGAAGCAGGTTTTTCTCTTCTGTGCCTTTTCTGCAGCCCCTGAGCCTTCCCTTTCCCTATTAATATTAAAAACAGGGCTTCTAATACTATACACAATAATAAGCATATAACTCATTTTAAAGGTTTTTCTTTTTTTCTCACGGTTCCGACATTGTCCACAGGAGGGCACTGTTTTCTGTCCCTTAATGCTAGCACTGAAGGTTTATTTCCTTTTCTGCCTGTGATTCTGACTTTGTCCACAGGAGGGCATTGTTTTCTGTCCCTTAGAGTTGAAGTCATTGAAGTCATCATAAGGCTTTTTAAACGGGTTGTTGCTTTTGAAGCAGGTTTTTCTCTTCTGTGCCTTTTCTGCAGCCCCTGAGCC